GAAGACGCATGTCACAGAGTAAACTCAAGTGAGTGCTCGCCGATGGAAAGGCACGTCCCCTTCCATGACATAGTATGGATAAAGGAAAGGAAAAGGCAACTGTGTTTCTTATGAGCAACAAACAAAGAGATTCTGATTTACATTTCAGTCCTCAAGGAACTCCCATGGAGAATCTCCAAAAGGACAGGGCTATGCATATTCTCTGGAGACAGGAAAGGGCCCCCATGTGGATTGAACAAAAGGAGAATTTTCTCAGGTGTGAGGATGGCACAAATGGCAAGTCATACAATTTCAATTATAAACACAGGAATGGGAGATTCATCCTTGATGGGATTATGGAAATTGTTGCATTTCTTACTGGTGCTAAAACCACAGTCGCCAGACATGCGAGACGACTCTCCCTAAAGGAATTAACAACCAGGTACCCTCAACAAAGAACCAAAAGCGAAAAGTCTCCAGGACACTACTTAAATATGAAACAGCCATTTCAAATTAGAAATTTCTTTACAATGCTACCCTAATCCAGGAAACACAAAGACTTGTTGCTACAAATTTAGCAATGTACCCCCTCTAAAACATATTTTCCTCTCACATGTGACCCAAATCAGTGAGTCTTATTTGAAACTTCTGGTTAAGGGTTGACGTAGGTACAGTAAGATTGTTATCCACGTAGGTGTTAATGACTCCCGGTTATGTCAGTCAAATGTCAGTGTGTTGCCTTTAAGGCATTTTGTTAAATTCATGGGTTAAATTCATGGGTTAAAGAAATAATATTAAACATGTTTACATGCTGCTAAAAGTGATTAGATGTTGAATAGTTTATTTACGTTTTTATTGAAAAAAAAAATATTATCGGTAAAATCTACTTCCGGTTTGCGGTGACGCACTTCCGGTTCCGGGTTTTGGCCAGGTTAACAGAGAGGTCCATGCGCGGCGAACGGTATGGAAACGTGAAATCTGATGCCATCCACGCTGAATTATCAGGCAGGAATGCCGTAAGTCGCATTATATTGTTGATTATGCTGAAATGTCACTTTATTCAGTTTGATGCACTTTTATTTTGTATGCAACAACTCTATGTATAGAGATTGAGTTTATTTTCTGTTATTACAGTTTTCACCGCATTTCGATGAAGGCAATAAACACGCTTGAATTGCACCTGGGTCTTCATTAGCGGTTTAACTCGGTGTCACCAACATCTTCGAGGTTGAAAACACTACAGTCAGTAAGATGTCTGTATATATGCTAGAACAATGTTGGACACTGTAGTTTTCTCTGGCCCCCTGCCCAACCTGGTTAGTGATGACATGTCAGCTCTCCGCCTATGGGTATCGAGGTGGTGTCCAGCAAACGATGTGGGCTTTGTGGATCACTGGCAGTCCTTCTGGGAAAGACCTGGCCTGATTCTGAGAAACGGCATCCATCGCATGGGGGAAGGAGCCGCTCAGATTATGAAATTTATTTTTTTGTCTTACTGAAACCTTGCTGGGTGATGGAGAATATGTGAGCCTAAATTAATCCACCCCTCCCAGTCATATGAATACTCACATTCCTCGAAGCACAGGCCAAGAAGGTGGAGTTGCAGCTATCTTTGACTCCAGTCTTGTAATCAGCTCTACACCTAAACTGAATTATAACTCTTTGAAAGCCTTGTTCTGAGTCTTTCCCACCCAAGCCGGAAATCACTGCAACGTATTCTAGTGTACCGAGCACCTGGTTCATACTCTGACTTCTTATATTTTAAATTTTTGTCAACTTTAGTCCTTAAAACAGACAAAGTAATTATCGTAGGGGACTTTAATATCTATGTGGAAGTTGAGAATGACAGCCTCAGTACTGTGGTTATCTCTCTGTTAGATTCCATTGGCTTCTCTCAGTGTTCATGAACTGACTCACTGTTTTAACCACACCCTTGACCTTGTTCTGGTGTATGGTATTGAAATTGAACATTTAATAGAGTTCCCATAGAATCTGTTTTTACCTGACCACTGTCTGCTAACTTTGGAGCTTATACTGTTGAATTTCCCTCCACTGGGTAAACATGTCTACTCAAGATGCCTGTTTGATAGTGCTATAGTTAAATTTAAGGAAATTATTCCATCAGCTCTAAATCCATTATCAGGTCATGCAGAAACAGAGGACTCTTATGTTAATTTCAGTTGTTCCCAAGTTGATCATCTTGTTGATAGTCTTAAAGGCTCGCTGCCAACAGCACTCGACGCTGTAGCCCCCTAAAAAAGAAAAAACTTAAACAAAGACGGTTAGCTCCATGGTATACTACTGAAACTGTAGAGAGAAACTGGCTTCCACCAAGTTGGAAAATTGTAGTTTATCTTGGCAAGATAGTCTTAAAACTTATAGGAAGGCCCTCCGTGATGCCAAAGCAGCGGACTTCTTGTCTTTAATAGAGGAAAATAGGAACAACCCCAGGTTTCTTTTCAGCACTGTAGCCAGGTTGACAGAGAGCCACAGCTCTATTGAGTCAAGTCATGACCATGACCATGGCCATGACTTCATGAGCTTCTTTAATGATAAAATTCTAGCTATTAGAAACAAAATCCACTAAGACTTGCTCTCAACTGGCACTGACTGATCTTTAAACTCGGAACCCATATGAACAACTGTAAAATCAGTTATATGTTTTGACTGCTTTGCTTCCATCAATCTTTGTTAACAAACTTCAATCATTTCTTTATCCAAACCATCAGCCTACCTCCTGGACCCCATTCTGACTACGCTGCTTAAAGAAGTCCTACCCTTAGTCGGAACTTTTCTGCTAGACGCAATCAGTCTGTCTTTATCAACAGGCTGTGTGCCTCAGTACTTTAAAGTAGCTGTAATTAAACCACTTTTGAAAAAGCCTAACCTGGACCCAGATTTTTTAGCCAACTATAAACCTATATCTAACTTTCCATTTATCTCCAAGGTCATGGAGAAAGCAGTAGCCAAACAGCTGTGTGACTATCTACATAGCAATAGCTTGTTTGATGATTTTCAGTCAGGATTTAGAGCTCATCATAGCACAGAGACAGCAATGGTGAAAACAACTAATGACCTCCTAACGGCATCAGACAAAGGACTTGTCTCCGTATTGGTTTTACTAGAACTTAGTGCTGCTTTTGACACCATTGACCATCAGATCTTATTACAGAGACTGGAACATTTCATTGGTATTAAAGGAGATGCTTTAAGCTGGTTTATCAGATCGGTTTCAGTTTGTGCATGTTAATGATGAGTCCTCCATGCATGCCAGAGTTAGCCATGGAGTTCCACAAGGATCTGTTCTCGGACCAATCCTCTTTACGTTATATATGCTTCATTTTGGTAATATTATCAGGAAACACTCTATCAACTTTCATTGTTATGCAGATGATACTCAGTTATATCTATCGATCAAGCCAGATGAAACTCATCAGCTAGCTAAGCTTCAAATGTGTCTGCAGGATGTTAAAACCTAACTGACCTGCAATTTTCTAATTTTAAACTCAGATAAAAATGAAGTAATTGTTCTAGGGCCTAAGCACCTCCGTGACGCATTATCTAGAGATATAGTTTCCCTGGATGGCATCGCCCTGGCCTCCAGCACCACGGTGAGAAATCTTGGAGTTATCTTTGATCAGGACATATTGTTTACCTTTCACATTAAGCAAATTTCAAGAACCGCCTTCTTTCACCTATGTAATATTGCAAAAATCAGGAGCATCCTGTGTAAAATGATGCAGAAAAACCAGTCCATGCATTTGTTACTCCTAGGTTGGATTACTGCAACTCCCTATTATCAGGCTCTTAAAAAAAGTCCATTAAGACTCTTCAGCTGATCCTGAATGCTGCATTCTGACAGGAACCAGTAAAATAAATCTTATTTCTCCTGTCTTGGCTTCTCTGCACTTCCTTCCTGGTAAATCCAGAATAGAATTTAAAATCCTTCTCCTTACGTACAACGCTCTTCATGGTCAAGCCCCATCTTGTCTTAAAGAGCTCATACCCTACCAGAGCCCTGCACTCCCAAAATGCAGGGTTACTTGCAGTTCCTAAAGTCTTTAAAAGTAGAATGGGAGCCAGAGCGTTCAGCTACCAGAGTCCTCTTCTCTGACACTGTCTCTATATTTAAGAGTAGGATCAAGACTTTCCTTTATGATAGAGGTTATAGTTGGGGTACGTCCACCCCTAGTTATGCTGCTATATGCCTAGACTTCCGGGGGATTTCCCATGATGCACCAAGCACCCCCCTCCTTTCTCTCTCTCCGTCCCGGTGCAAACTCACTCCATTAACGATGTTACTAACTTGACTCTCTCTCTGTCTCCCTCCGCTCTCCTCCTATCACTTTTTATAGATAATTCTGGCTTTGGAGCTGTAGGGTCTGTATCTGTGATTGGGAGTCTCCTCCTATCACTTCCTGCAGGTGTTCCTAGAGCTGTAGAAGCTGGATCTGTGTTTGGAAGTTTCCTGCTGTCTCCGTGTTGCTACTCTGTTACAGTTACAGCCACTGTTCATAGTCTTATTTCTATAATCACTGCTATCATTATGATTAGTATCAATATCTTTACCATTTTTCAACCAGCTGTGTAGGCTGCCTCTCTCTGCTCCCTCTATCCTTCTCTCGCTCTCTCTCACTTGCCCTCTCTTTCTCTCACTCCAACCGGCTGAGGCAGATGGCCGCTCACCCTGAGCCATGGTTATGCTCTAGGTTTCTGCCTCTTAAAAGCGAGTTTTTCCTTGCCTGTGTCCCCTAGTGCTTGTTCTTGGTGGGAATTGTTGGGCTTCTGTAAATAACTTCACAGTAGGGTCTGACCTGCTCCGTTTGGAAAGCGCTGTGAGATCCAATCCAAGATGGCGCCGCAGAAGGCCGCCACGGTGGTTTGGTGCGCATTATTTTGTTTTGTTTTGTCTTTTTACCCTGGTTTTTGCAACAGCTTCCGAATACCCTTCACTAGGGAAGAGCTTCTGAACATCAGGGAAACAACTCCTACGGATTTGTTTCCCACTTTTTTCGACCATTCTGCCGATTTATTGGTTTTCCTCACCAGAGGTGCCCTCGCCCTTGCCCTCGCAGCGAAACGCCGGAGGAGGGGGAAACGTGCCGGTGCGCTTGTGCGTCTCCGTCAGCGCGGTCACCGCACACCGCTGCCGGGCATATTCCTCTCCAATGTGCGCTCACTGTCCAACAAAATTGATGAACTCCAGCTGCTGATGGGGAAACGCCGAGACTGCGCCACATCTGCAGTTTTGTGTTTTACGGAGACGTGGTTATGTGGATCGATACCGGACTCTGCGCTGCAGCTGGCAGGCTTCCAACTCTTCAGAGCGGATCGTAACACGGAACTCTCCGGCAAGACTAAAGGTGGTGGAATCTGCTTTTACACCAACAGTGGCTGTGATTCAGCAGCACTGCTCTCCTGATCTGGAAACTTTTTTCATCAACTGCAAACCCTTTTACTCGCCCCGTGAGTTCGCCTCATTCATTCTGGTCGGTGTTTACATCCCACCGCAGGCCAACGTGCAGGACGCACAGTGCACGCTCGCCGACCAGATACTGCGTGTGGAGCGGACATTCCCGGACTCTTTAGTTATTGTCCTCGGCGACTTTAACAAAGGTAACCACACCCACGAACTCCCAAAATACAGACAACTTATAAAATGTCCGACCAGAGAGGACAATATTTTGGATCACTGTTACACCACTATCAGCAACGCTTATCACGCCGTCCCCCGCGCTGCACTGGGCCACTCTGACCACGTCATGGTCCATCTGATTCCTGCATACAGACAGAAACTCAAACTCTGTAAACCAGCTGTGAGGACATCAAAGCAGTGGAGCAGTGAGGCTGTGGAGGATCTTAAGGCGTGTTTGGAGACTACTGACTGGGATGTTTTCAGGACCGCCACCACCAGTCTGGATGAGTACACAGAGACTGTGACTTCTCATATCAGTTTCTGTGAGGACTGCTGCATACCATCACGCACCAGGGTGAGCTACAACAACGACAAACCCTGGTTCAGTCCTAAACTCAGACAGCTGAGGCTGCAGAAGGAAGAGGCATTCAGGAGCGGGGACAGGGACAGGTTTAAGGAGTCAAAGTACAGGTTTAGTAAGGCGGTGAGGGACGCTAAACGGCTGTACTCTGAGAATCTCAAAAAACAGTTCTCAGCCAACGACTCTGCATCTGTCTGGAAGGGGCTCAGGCAGATCACCAACTACAAACCTAATCCCCCCCACTCTGTCAACGACCTGCGTCTGGCAAACGAGCTGAACGACTTCTCTTGCAGATTTGAAAGACAATGGGACAGTCCTAACACCAACACCATCCCCCGCCACCACCAGCCCCTGCCCTCCTGCACCCCCACCCCCACCTCAGCGGGGGCCTGCCCCCACCCTCAACTGCCCACATTGAAGGACCCCCTTCCGTCAACTACCATGACTCTCTCCATCCAGGAGAGGGACGTATCCAGTCTATTCAAAAAACAAAAACCACGCAAAGCAGCTGGACCCGACTCTATCTCTCCTAGCATCCTGAAGCACTGCGCAGACCAGCTGCCTCCTGTGTTCACTGACATCTTCAACACATCGCTGGAGACATGCCATGTGCCCGCCTGCTTCAAAACCTCCACCATCATCCCCGTCCCCAAAAAACCAAAGATTTCAGGCCTCAATGACTACAGACCTGTCGCCCTGACCTCCGTGGTGATGAAGGTATTTGAGCGCCTTGTCCTTGCCCACCTGAAAGACATCTCAGACCCACACCTGGACCCACTGCAGTTTGCCTACAGAGCCAACAGGTCTGTAGATGACGCTGTCAACCTGGCTCTCCACTTCATCCTACAGCACCTGGACTCCCCGGCCACCTACGCCAGGATCCTGTTTGTGGATTTTAGCTCTGCCTTCAACACCATCATCCCCCCTCTACTCCAGGACAAGCTCTCCCAGCTGGGTGTGCCTGATCCCACCTACAGATGGATCACCGACTTCCTATCTGACAGGAGGCAGCATGTGAGGCTGGGAAGCCACACCTCCAACAGCCGGACCATCAGCACTGGATCCCCCCAGGGCTGTGTTCTCTCCCCCCTACTCTTCTCCCTGTACACCAACAGCTGCACCTCCAGCCACGAGTCTGTCAAGCTCCTGAAGTATGCGGATGACACGACCCTCATCGGACTCATCTCAAATTGGGGACGAGTCCGCCTACAGGTGGGAGATCGACCGTCTGGTGTCCTGGTGTGCAGCCAACAACCTGGAGCTCAACGCGCTCAAGACAGAGGAGATGGTTGTAGACTTCAGGAAGAACACAGCACCACCTGCGCCCATCACTCTGTGTGGCTCCACAATTGCTTCTGTGGAGTCCTTCTGTTTCCTGGGGATCACAATAACCCAGGACCTCAAGTGGGAGCTGAACATCAGATCCCTCACAAAGAAAGCACAGCAGAGGATGTTCTTCCTGCGGCAGCTGAAGAAGTTCAACCTGCCCAAGGCAATGATGGTGCACTTCTACACAGCCATCATTGAGTCCATCCTCACCTCCTCCATCTCCATCTGGTACGCTGCTGCCACCTCTAAGGACAAGCGCAGACTGCAGCGTATCATTCGCTCAGCCGAGAAGGTGATTGGCTGTGATCTGCCATCCCTTCAGGACCTGTACGCCTCCAGGACTTTAAGGCGTGCAGGAAGGATCATGTCTGATCCTTCTCACCCTGGTCACAAACTCTTTGAAACTCTCCCCTCTGGCAGAAGGTTGAGGACCATCAGGACCAAAACCTCACGCCATAAAGACAGTTTCTATCCAGCAGCAACTGGCCTCATCAACAAGACCAGCGACCCCCACCTATTCTTCTCCACCCCCCTCTACCTCACTAAATGACCCAATGCTCCAGCATTTTCTGGTCTGTCGTTGCAGATCAACATTGCACATTTCAATTGTTCAATTTGCACATTCAAATCTATATTTTTAAAGATTGTTCATTTGTACATTCAGATCTATATTTTTAAAGATTGTATTTTTCAGTTTTATCATTCTGTCCTATATTTTTATTTCTACATTTTATTCCTGCTTCTCATAGAAGTGTTGTGTTGTGCACTAAACACCAAGGCAAATTCCTTGTAAGTCTGAAAACCTACTTGGCAATAAACCTGATTCTGATTCTGATTCTGAGATAACTGTTGTTGTGATGTGGCGCTATATAAATAAAATTTAATTGAATATCACATCATATCCCTCTTAACTGTGGGATCTTAACTTAAAGGATTATAATAAAAACAGTATTCTTGCTGTTGGGATGAAGAGGAACACCATCCATGAGTTCTTCATTATTCTGGACAAGCAGGTCATACCGTGCAAGTCATCTAGTACCCTTGGAGCTTTTGACCAACTCTTTAAAGCACACTTTGTATTTGGTACCATGTACAACCAGATACTCCACAAGATGTACACCTTCATTAAGACGACCATTTACAACATAGATAGGCTATTGGTCAAGTCCAGAAGAGCCCATGTGTTACTGAGGTTAGGGCCAGGCTGCTACACTTGTTAATAGATGACTCCGGGTCGGCAAAATATTTGTCAATGTTCACTAAAAGCTCTTCTATCTGTATTTTGAGTGATTTTCCCATGTCACTCAGTCTTAATTGATATCATTGGCCTGATTTGTTTTGTTTGCAATTCTCATTTTGTGGGAACCAATGCCCTTGTGAGACATTTGCGGTTGATTCATGGTAAATCACTTTGCCGAAAATGTGTTCAGGGAGGATGTTGTCGTGTTCTTAGTTCCTTTTCAGGTTTCAGTAAACATTTAAACTGTAAACATGCTGAGAACATTGAGAGTGAAGCTGAAACTGCTAACATTGTAGACAGTTATCATGCAACAGATGATACTCGGTCACAACATTTTGAAGGATGGTGTAGGCCAGTCCACTTTAAACGATTTTGTATCATCCATGGAAGAAGTTATAATGGAGGTACAGAGTCAAATTAAAGATGCAGCTTTGAAATGTTTATCTTCTCAGGATACAAGTGTGAAACCTAAAATTGAACAAACTTTTAAAACACTTGAAAATGCTTTTACTGCATTGAACACTGAATCAAAACGTAATGCATATTTTCAATAAAAATGGAAAACTGTTGAACCTATTGAAAAAGTACTTGGTGTTAGATAAAAAAAATAGAGGAAACAGAAACACCAGAACTTACGATCAAGTAGTTGTAACTGACAAATTGTAATGTTTCTATGATTGGAACATAGGCAAATCTATTCTCAGAAATCCAAACCTCACACACCTGACATGTTTATGTCAAGCCACACTCCCAAGGGACAATTGGACCAGCCTGGTGGCCAATCTTCATTAATTGCACATTGAACCAATAAGAGTAGACTGTGAAGGTCCAATTAGCAGGGTAAAAGCACAGTTTTGCTCAAAATATTGCAATGTACACAGTATTATGGGTGACATACCAGAGTTCAAAAGAGGACCAATTGTTGGTGCACGTCTTGCTGGCGCATCTGTGACCAAGACAGCAAGTCTCTGTGATGAATCAAGAGCCACGGTATCCAGGGTAATGTCAGCTTACCACCAAGAAGGACGGACCACATCCAACAGGATTAATGGTGGATGCAAGAGGAAGCTGTCAGAAAGGGATGTTCGGGTGCTAACCCGGATTGTATCCAAAAAACATAAAACCAGGGCTGCCCAAATCACAGCAGAATTAAATGTGCACCTCAACTCTCCTGTTTCCAAAACTGTCCATCTGGAGCTCCACAGGGTCAATATTCACGGCCGGGCTGCTATAGCCAAACCCTTGGTCACTCGTGCTAGTGCCAAACGTCGGTTTCAATTGTGCAAGGAGCGCAAATCTTGGTATGTGGACAATGTGAAACATGTATTGTTCTCTGATGAGTCCGCCTTTACTGTTTTCCCCACATCCGGGAGAGTTATGGTGTGGAGAAGCCCCAAAGAAGCGTACCACCCAGACTGTTGCATGCCCAGAGTGAAGCATGGGGGTGGATCGGTGATGGTTTGGGCTGCGATATCATGGCATTCCTTTGGCCCCATACTTGTGCTAGATGGGCACGTCACTACCAAGGACTACCGAACCATTCCGGAGGACCATGTGCATCCAATGGTTCAAACACTGTATCCTGAAGGAGGTGCCGTGTATCAGGATGACAATGCACCACTACACAAAGCAAGACTGGTGAAAGATTGGTTTGATGAACATGAAAGTGAGGTTTAACATCTCCCATGGCCTGCACAGTCACCAGATCTCAATATTATTGAGCCACTTTGGGGTGTTTTGGAGGAGCGAGTCAGAAAACATTTTCCTCCACCAGCATCACGTCGTGACCTGGCCACTATCCTGCAAGAATAATGGCTTAAAACCCCTCTGACCACTGTGCAGGACTTGTATATGTCATTCCCAAGACGAATTAACGCTGTATTGGCAGCAAAAGGAGGCCCTACACCATACTAATAAAGTATTGTGGTCCAAAACCAGGTGTTTCAGTTTCATTGTCCAATCCCTGTATTTTACACTGAGAAATTTTCCACCAAAGTTAAATTCATGTTTAATCGACATACATTTGTGTGCACTCTTTCATGCCTGGGACATCAAAACCTATGGTTTTGACACAATCCTTGAGCCAATCATAAATTACTTGAAAGTGCTTGAAACTGATGGGATCAAAGTTCCCTTGTTCAAAGATGCAGTTCATGGCAGTATTGTACAGGTTACCGGTGATAATCTTGGTATACACGGACTGTTTGGGTTTGAAGAATCGTTCAGTGCCTAGAATTGCTGTCGTTTTTGTATCATTGAGAAGAGTGAATTTCAAATTGTGTTCTGTGAAGATGACCAAAGCGTGATATTATGGACTAAAGACATGCTTGCCTAACATTGTCCTACTATACAAAAAAAATCCAAAGCTACCTCGTATATGTTGTGAAGCGTTCATGTTTGTTAAAAAATCTGCAATATTTCAACACAGCTGATCATTTTTCCGTAGACATCATGCATGACATTTTAGAGGGTGTTGCACAGTTAGAAGTGAAACTCATATTGGAGTATTTCCATGAAAAGTTCTTAACTACTTAAGAACTGGCCAGTAGAATAGAGTGATTCAACTATGGGTACACTGAGAGGAGAAATCACCCCCATGCAGTCAAGTTATACGACACACACTGGCAATTTTACTGTGTACTTTGGCTGTGAAAGAAAATTAAAGAAAATATGCTATGGGCATTATTTAATGATTATGCACATACATCTACTGTGGTGTTCATACCCTCCAAATGCTCATCTTGTGGACCATATTTTCCACAGTTGATGTCCCAAAGACTATTTTACCTTGTCCTGTCCAGCATTGTGGCAAGCAGTCGGGTGCTTTGGCTGCAGTAGTGACGCGAAACACATTTGCTTTTTCAAAACCAGGAAAACAGCAGCCCCATGGAGCAGGTAGCTCACTACAGGGACACCACACATCCACAAACAACAGAGGAGCACATGTCACCATTAACCACTGGTAACGCAAACAGCCCAACCTATTACTGTTTGGTAGTACTATCCACAGGTGACTAAAGTTTACAACTACATCAGATATGTGGCTCCCACACAGCAACCGGCCCAATCCTCATACCCCAGGAGAGCACCAGATTTGCAGGGACTTCCCAGAGTCAACCCCAAAGTCCAAGTTACACCGAACCATCACGATGTGGTGGAATTTATCAGAGCAGATTGGTGTTGTTTCACAAAGCTATCTCTCTTATCTCAATCTGGCCTCCCGAGAGCGGCCTTGCAGCTGCTGCTCTGCCACTTTGCCCTGGATGAAACTGCAGACAGACGCTTTGCCCACCCCACCCCCTCTCTCTTCCCAAGCAGGAGTATGGGCATCACAAGGACACATTGCATCTAGCCTGTGGATGTGGACCTCCAGCTTGCTTACATTTAAACACATGTACAGACTTCATTCTTTCCTTGGACTCACTACCTCGCTGTTACCTCTCCCCTTCCTCCCATCCCTATGTGTTCTTGATGTTGTGATTTGACTGTATCTTTGCTTAAGTGTACTGTACTGAGGTGTCTTTTTAAATCACTGTTACGTCCCCTGTAGGGAGCGTGGCACTGTGCCTTTTTTTTCCCCCTCATCCCGCAATCACTTTCCTGGTGTATTTTTGTTCTGAAGAAAAACGGTGCGCCCCTGTGTGGCTGTCCACGGTCTTCCCGAACTGGTGTGTCTATGTGTTTTGTTTGTTTGATCTTGCTAAGGACTGTACTGGACGTCAATTTCTCCCTGGAGATCAATAAAGTATTTTCAATTCAATTCAATTTCAATTGCAGGTACCTCAGGGGCCTGTTCTGGGTCCAATTTCTCTTTTTGTTGTAAATATTTCCTCCTGATCAAATTATGACTTTGTACAGTAATATTTCTTATCATCTTTATGCTGATGACATGCAGATACATTGCTCTTTCAAAGCTATTGGATTTAAGAAATTATGTTGTTTGTTTCTTGCCTGACAAATAGCAGGCTATGGTTAAATGACAACTTACTCCAACTAAACAACGAGAAACTAAAACTTTGATAACATCTCTAGACAATGTAATGCCAGACATCAGATAGCACATCAGTTTTAAACGTCAACTGAGAAAACTTATAAATTTGGTATCCTCTTGGAAAGTTCATCTCTTCAAACAGTTGGTTATGAACTATATCAATTACCTTTGGAACATCAAGGACTGTGCAAAATGCCTCAGCAAGAGTTTTACCTGTCAACAAAGAACAATCTTACATGATTCCAGTCTTGGCTTCTTTTCATTGATTGCAAATCAGTTTCGAGATTTATCTGAAGATGTAGTGTGTGCTTATAAAGACGTGATCAGCTCCCCATTGCTTATTTCTTGAAACAATATTCTCTTAAAACGAGTAACAAATAAATACAGAGTGAATGAGATCACAGGTGCTGCTACATAGTCTAGGGGCTGCAACTGCAAAGGCACGGTCATCCCTGAGTTTAAAGTTTTTGCCAGACCATGCAGAAGTTGAGAAACGCAGTTTAAAAAGCAGTTTAAAATCTATGGTGAATTTATGAGCAACCAGTGGAGGAATGCTGGGTGGGGGTGTTGTGGTCTTGATTGCTTGTTCCTATTAAAAGTCTTGCGGCAGCTTTCAGAAGGATTTGTAGACAAGAGAGAGATGATTTGTGACATTCTGGCACTCGAGCTGGCTCCACCTACCTTTTCTGTCTCACCATCTCTCCTATGCAAATTAACCAGATTGGACCCACCTGCCACCACCTCCTCTTATACTCCGCCCTCACCTGCCTCGAGTGCCAGATCATCTCAAACCCCTTCGGTAAGAACATCCAGCATTCCTGTATCCTGATCGCCTGTTTAACTCGACCCGTTTCCGTCTGCCTGATTCTGAACCCGCCTGATCCACGCCTGACCCGTTTGCCTGACTCTGAGCCTGCCTGATCCCCGTCTGCTTCTCCTGGCTGTTCCAGACTGCCTTCCCGTTATCGACCTCGCCTGCCCCTGACTCTGAGTTCTGCCTGCTCCCCCCACGGACTGCCTCTCTGGTTCTGACCCTGGTACGTTCCTGGACTCCGTCTCTGGATTATCCCCCAGCCGAGCGGCGAGCCGGTCTATGCTGGCCACGCCCCTCCGGGCTTCCCCCACGCTCCTGCTTCAATAAACTCTGTTCACTGACTGTTCCGTGCGTGGGTGTTATTGGGTCCCACCACAGTTCGTAACATGATTTTTTCCGTTTGTAATGTTTTGACACTGATATAAAAGTTGCTACGACCATATTTTGATTTCCACAGACAACGATGTCTGGTATTAGCATAATATGAGTAGTAACTTAGTACATTAGTTAATTTTATGTGGAATGGTAAGAAACATGGGGTGGCACAGTGTTGTGGGGGTTAGCACCTTCACTTCACAGTAGTTATTTTTCTCGTGGAACAAGGACCTTTCTGTGTGGTGTTTGCATCTTCTCCCTGTGTCTGTATGTGTTCTCTCTGGGTAGTCCGGCTTCCTCCGACCGTCCAATACCCTGGATGTTAGGTTGATTGTACATTCCAAATTGCCCTTAGGATAGTGTGTGTGAGTGTTCATGGTTGTTGCTCTAGGTACTCTGGCCTCCTCCCAACATCCAAATTGGTCCAAAAAAAACGTTGAATCTGAAACCCAAAATTACCTAAAATTCTTAACAGAAACAAAAATGGGTTACATACAACTCCTTTTTCTCTCAGGTCAGCGGATCATCTGCTGCTGAGTGTTCAGAAAATAAAGTGCAAGTTTAGAAGTGACCATGCCTTTGCTGTAGATGCCACTAAATTGGGGAATTATCTGCCACTTGGTATCAGACAGGCCACCTCTGTGTTTTAAATCTCATCTTAAAACCCATCTTTTATCTTTGGCTTCTGCCACCATGTGAGATGTTTAATGTGTTATTTTAGTTTATCAATGTTGTTTTAATAGCAGAGCTGTTTTTTGTTTTAATATGTTAATCTGTGGTTGTATTAAAGTGCTTTACAAACAAAGTTGGAATGGAGTTGGATTGAATTCTTTGCTAATATCAGCTCTCTTTTAATTCAGTTCAAGACTATATAAGATTACCAATGATGATTATTATATCTGTGTGTATGTATGACAAAAAAGGCAAGGTACACACATGAAAAACAGAAAAGCTTTATAAAATGTATTGCTATGAAAATGTATATAGCTTACAGTACCCCTTAAAAAATATTCCCACCATCTCACATAGACAAATTATTAAACTTCTTTAATTACATACATTAGCTCTTTTGTCATTTTGTTCCATTATGTGCACTTCAGACCATGTATACAAAATCTATGTGGATGCTTCCATCATATCATAGGTAGTAAAAAGAAAGTTGAACAATGGAGTTGGTTGGAAAATTCACTAAAAAGAAAACTTTTTAGAATCCAGCAGGATTTCACACCTAGAAGCACGAATTATCAAACTAGTTTACACACTCCATGTCAGTCGGTCATTTCACAGTTGTAAATTGTTTTGTTCCTGGTCTTTATTATTTTACTTTTCAGGAGTTGTTGTAGATAATTAATTAAAAGTATGTATTTTCATAAATCTTGTGGTTTATTAAGGGTGTCATCATGTACGCATCTCCTAGGCCAGTTCATGATCCAATTTTAATTTTCTTCTTAAAATACTTTCTATACGAAGTCCAAGATAACTTAAAGATGATAATAATAATCATAATAATAATACCAAATTTTTGCTTTGGGCAGTGGGCAAGTACCCAGGTCACAATCTGTGAAGGGGCGAACTTTGTAAGAGAAAAAAAAGGTTTATAAGAGCTTACGATTGCTCAAACAGAAAGTTTGATTTATACTCTACTCATCATGTGGCGCAGGCGGTGGATGCACCGCTGCTGCCTTTTCTGTGGAGAAATCACATCACCTTGCTGCTGCAGCTGCTGAGAGAGGTCGCTGTCACAGTCAGCAACTGTCTGTGCAAGAATAAGGGAAGGGGGAGGGACAGCGGAGCTCAGGCAGCAGACCACAATGCAATTAAGTCTAGTCACAAACATTGCTTTAAATATGGGAAGCAAACATGGAGAGTGTAAGGTGTGTTCGCCCAGGGCGTAAAACCAGCAATGACAACTTAATAGACACGGAATAAGTTTCCTGTTTTCTTAAAGTAGTATTTGTCTGCTCTTTGACCAGGGCAAATAATGTTCACGTGCAATTACTGAATAGTGTACCCTTTTTACTGGGTTATCATACATTTATGCACAAATGGTTGGCCTTTGTTAACAAGATCAGTGGGTAATTTGCATCCTCTAAATACACTCTACTTACTAAACAGCTTATCCACAATTTCTCATAAAGTTCTCAAGATTATCATTTTGATTCATACTGTACAACCTGCTAGAGCCAAGTAACTAGACCCTCACAATTCACAGTGCACTAATATCACAATACATTACACCACTGCTGGCTTCTTTTATAGTCACCTGCTATGTGTGCTGCATCACACTTTTCAACGTTTGACGAGATAGGTCCAAATTCACACTATCAGAAATTCTGCTCAAATATTTTCCTGAACATTTTCAGTACCTCCGTGTGCAGATAAAATAAGAAGTAATTTGGGGCAAGCCCAACTCCAGTGTTCTATTAACCAGATGAGATGTATGCCTGAGAAATGTGCTCCCAGAGTCAATGAGACAGGCGTTGAACTGTCAGAGGGTGCCCAACAGAGCTTTCTCTGTAATGCACAAACAGACGCTGACAGCTATGGATCTGAGCGGTGCGGTAATACGAGAGTGCGTGCACCGGACAGAGCAGGTGAGAACAAGCGTCCTCCTCCGATTGATGAGGAGGAAGGCAAAACCCCTCTAAAGTGATCACTCTGGATCTGAACTTGTGATGTTTTTAGGCATGAAGGTCGGGTTAGGGCGCTCAAAGGCGCACTGCTGTGTTAGGATTTGGCTAAAAATATTCACTTCAGCATGGTTTGCTATCACATGATCTATGCATATTACTGATTGTTTTCTTTTCTTTTATAACTATATTTTGTGTTGAAGTCTCTGGCTGTAACCACAGATTCTCTTTGTTCTCTATTTTTCTTTCTATCCTCTTTCTCTGTTGCATTAGATCCACGTCTTTAAGTCAACACATACACACACCATTTGGTACCACATTCCAATGTCATCAACATGAATTGCGATCCGGCTTGTTAGTCTTAGAGGTAACTAACCAATAGGACTTGGTTGTGTCCAGTCCTCATTTTGAGGGGTGTGCCTAGTTTAGGAGACAAAGACCCATCACACCCAGATCTCAGAGCTCTTTGCCGACTGAGACCCTAAGAGAGAGGTTTCCTCTGTGAAGAGCCCAGCGCTGAAATACTTTACCTGTGACCCAATAAATGTCATTTTTTACTCTTGATCTACTCTGGTTTATTCTCAGGTTTCCAACTAACGAATCGGGCTAACAGTATGACAGAGTGTATACTGGCCATAACATCTACATTCCAGGAGGAAAAGAGATGGACTTAATGTGCAAGATTAAAGCGGGCCCACAAAGAATCGGGTTAACAATCCTAAGGCATGAAGGTGCCACAGACAGCGCAAAAGATCGCTGACTCTCTTAGCAGATGTCAAAGCTCTCAGCTGAGCGGTCTTAATAGATAAAAATCTCAGTGAGACTTGGTGTAAAGGCTCAAGGGGGGGGGTCTCAACGCACATAGTACCCCCACTAAATCCCACTGCGGTGTCGTAGTGCATGACACGGGTCTCTGCCTTGCACGCCCTTCAGGAAGAACTTGGTCATTGGGTGACTAAACACTGATCTGTGACCAAAACCCACATGGCAGGATGAAATCGCTGCTGCGTAGGTTTTTATAGTGCTGAACGCCAGTTCCCTCCCCAGCAACATCTGGAGGAATGAGAAATGATGCAGAGAGTAAGAGGTAGGGTCCAGACCTTTCTACCCATAACACTACTGAAAATCTTCAAAGAATAAGCAGCCCTTTTGGAGGCTGCTCTGGAATTCTGGATCTGGTCCAGCAATGGAGCAATTAGAGGGACAGGTAGAGTGGCGTCTGGCCACATTCAGTAACTGTGCCGAGCGGAAACCTGTTTTCACCCGCGTGGCGGTTTATATATGCCGTCACCCTGTTGTCCATGTGGACCAGAACATTGTGGTTCCGCAGCATTTGAGCAAAGTGTTGGGTAACTTTCCACATAGTAAGAAACTTCAAGACATTTATGTTGAGAGACGTGTGCACAGGCCACTGTCCTCCCACCAGCAGCTACAGACAAGTTCCCCCCAGCCCGAAAGAGATGCGTCTGTGAACTGAGATGTAAGACATTGGTCTCATGTGGAGAAGACCCAGGAGACTTGTCGAAATCATGCCTAACAGTCTCATGACAGACAGGGCTGTCACCATGTTGTGGAGCATGACGCGCTGCAGGAGAGCCGACAGCTGTGACGTTCTCTGCTGCGAGAGCGGTGCTGTTATGGTGGAGGAGTTCAGCTTCACACCGAGGTAAATTCTTGTCTGGCAAGGCATAAGAATGCGTTCTCCTGATTTATGGAGAAGTCCAGGACAGAAAGGTGAGCCACCAGTTTCCCTGTTTGTATCCCTGCCTCACCTCCGGACAGAGCCATCAAAAGTAGGTTGTTCAGATAAAACAGGATTCTCATCCCTGACCTGCACAGTGGCTCCAGTGTTGTCTCCAAACATTTGGAAAAGGTGCAAGGCGCGAAGGAGTAACCAAATGGTGGTGGTTGTACTGGTACTGTGTCCCTTGGAATGAGAAACGGTTTTTCTGAATGTTTGGGACGTGAAAATTTGCATCTCAGAGGTCAATGGAGGTAAACCAGTCATCCTGATGCACAGGACATGTCTGACTGTCAGCATGTGAAACTATCTCTTCACAACAGATTTGTTGAATAATGATAGATCGAGGATGGGTCTCATTCCCTCCATTTTAATCAGAACCTGGAAGTAACGGGAGTAAAAGCCCATGTTTTCCTCTCTGCACGGGACCTGGGGAATCACCTCTTTCCCCAGAAGTTCCTGGAGTTCTGATTGGAGAGTGAGACACTGTTCTCGGGATGTCAGGATTTCCAGAGTCCCACTGAACCGCCGAGGGGTCGACACAAACTGCAGTATGTAACCCCTGCCGATCATCTTGTCTAACCACCTGTTCTTG